CAACAAGACAACGACCCTAAACACTGCTCAAAATCTACTAAGGTATTCATGCAGAGGAACAAGTACAACGTTCTGGAATGGCCATCTCAGTCCCCAGACCTGAATATTATTGAAAATCTGTGGTGTCACTTAAAGAGAGCTGTCCATGCTCGGAAACCATCAAACCTGAATGAACTAGAGATGTTTTGTAAAGAAAAAAGGGCTAAAATACCTTCAGCCACAATCCAGACTCTCATTAGAAGCTATAGGAAGCATTTAGAGGCTGTTATTTCTGCGAAAGGAGGATCTACTAAATATTGAGTTAAGGTTTTTATTTTGGTGCCCAAATTTATGCACCTGCCTAATTTTGTTTAGACAATTATTGCACACTTTCTGTAATTCATATAAACTTCATTTCACTTCTCAAATATCACTGTGTTTGTCCCCTGTATGATATATTTAACGGAATTTTTTTATCCAAACAATCAATGATTTATAAAGGTAAATCAGGAAAATTAACAAGGCTGCCCAAACTTTCGCACCCCACTGTACGTTCGTTCACACACACACACACACACACACGTACACACACACACACACACACACACACACACACACACAGAGGACAACAAGAGCTCCTTAAACTGACCCACAACACACAAAAATGAGGACAAATTCAATCAATCTCTACTTATTTTCACTTGAAAATACATTGAGTGACCCTCATTTTCAGTGTAGCCGAGTGTTTATAACAATAAAGGGATTTAAAAGAAATTAAAATGGAATTTAATCAGGTTAAATTAAAATGAAAGAACCACATAAACAAATTAACAGAAAAAACAGACACGACATTAACGACTCCTAATGTCACCGAATGTCTCCTAGAGTGAACCTACAGGGTTTAGGGTTAGTGTTTCGGATTAGATGTAGGGTTAAGGTGTGTTTTCTAGCACATGTTCAAGTGTAAAACCCAAACTAAACTCACGCTAAACCCATGTTAAATCTGTACTAAGCCAACAAGTAATCCACACTAGACCCATGTTAAGCTTAGGGTAACTCCACTAAACCCACTAAACCCACACTGAACCCACATAGAACCGACACTAAACCTTCACCAAACTCACACTAACTCCATGCTAAACCCATGTTAAATCTGTACTAAGCCAACACTTAAACCACACTAGACCCATGTTAACCCAATGCTAACTCTACACTTAA